TTTGCTGGCATTCATATTGAACGAGTCACTTCCTTTTAATGATGCTGGATCCTCAAAAGATGCTTAAAATTTGAAACTATATTCTGGGCTAGGTTAAAAACATGTAGAATTCATTCATTTATACGACTTGCCAAAATACATCCTGGCATTTTCCTTGAATTCTTTCATTTGGCTTTTAACTCCCCATAAAGGAGGTGGTTTTTTAATAGTCAAGGGTCAATATTCACGAGTCCTATATGTTGTTGGTTAACTTGAAAATTTACCATCAGAATGTTGCGCTTCAACAACTCGTTCTGGTATAAATGATGGTAGTCCATAAAACTTCGGTACGCATTTCAACAATCATTCTTGGAAGTGGCATCATTTGTTGACAATCTTCTGACCTAAAAACTATCCACAACTCAATCAAGAGAATGTGTAGGATCAATTGAGAACAAATAGGTCTCGGGCTTCGAAATCAGGCAAATTTTTATTTTCTTTGGTTGTCACACATCTTTTTTGACAAGATGGTTACTCCACATTTCCCTGCTTCATAGCTTGAATTGGACCTATGATTTTTAGACATGTTTGTCCCTTGGCCATTACAATTTGCATCCATCTTTTTTGTTGTTTAGTATTTGCTATGCCGCTGATACCACTGAAGGTCATGTAGTGCAATTTTATAGTGGACTTGAATTATCATCTTAAGACTACATTCAGGACAAGGAATTGACTTTTTGATATTGATGTTCCATAGAACGAAGAGAGGATGAAAGTATGTTACATTAATATGCTAGGTATATTTCTTAAAAAAATTGGATGAAAATATCAAAAAAGATAATCGGCAGGATTATTGTTGGATGATAAACATATTGGCAGGGTTATGATCAACTAGCACGGCTGGATATTTGATTAACATGTAATGGAGCATAATGAAGTACTAGTTTGGCTAGTAAATTTTGTTTAATGTGGACTAAAAGTTGTTACAAGCCTTTAAAGATTTTATTAGAAACTAGTTCTGAGATGAGCATATTTAATATACTTTGTACATGGAATGTGAATGTTGTATTCTTTTAGACACTTATGCATAGGCATGGCTCTTCGAGAATTGAGGCGTGTATAATATTGAAATTTCTGCAAAAAAGCTGATTGTGCATTAGTCACACAATCCTCTTTGAATTCCAACCTTATGGATATTTATAAAGGGATATTTTTACAGCTTTATTTTATTCACTACTGAGTTTTCTGTATTTTTTTCTATCCAGAAGCGAGATCATTTCCTTGCGATCTGAGCGTGACAAGTTAGGACTAGAAGCACGATTTGCGCAAGAAAAATTGGCCAGATTTATGAAAGAATTTGAGCATCAGGTTAACATTTTATTTGGAGATTCACTTTAGTTTACAGTTTAGAGTATAGAGAAAGAAAACGAAATCCTTCCTTTTCGTGTTCCGATAATTAGAATAAGGATAAAAATCTTTACATTGTAGACACTCCCTAGGTGCTGTCCGGATGTTGTGCGACTGTTTTTGACATATGATCTTGTCAAATTATCAAATGACAGAGAGATGAACATAATGGAGTCATAGCGAGAAACATTGAGTTCTCACAGCTGATAATCGACTACCAGCGGAAGGTGCGTGAAAGTTCCGAGTCGCTGAATACTACTGAGGAGCTGTCACGCAAGTTAACAATGGAGGTAATTTTCATTTTTACCCCCTGATGGTTATTTTGTTGATTTTCCACCAACATTCGGGTTATATTGCCATATAGGTCGCTGTCCTGAAGAATGAAAAGGAGATGTTGCTCAACTCTGAGAAGAGAGCTTTTGATGAAGTTCGTAGTTTGTCAGAGAGAGTTTATCGTTTGCAGGTTTTCTTTTCTTTCTTCTTCTTCTTCTTTTTTTTTTATTTTTTTTTATTTGATGTTTTCAGGTTATAGATTGACTTTTGGTAGCTCTTATTCTTGTTTTACTGTGTCTTTATTCAGGCCAGTTTAGACACCATGCATAGTACTCAGGAAGTGCACGAGGTACCTTATTATCACTGAATTTATTTTCCATCTGCAATTCCTCTTTAATGTTCTAAACTTTTATTTTGTGGTCGATGTGTTAGGAGGCCAGAAGCATAGAGAGGAGAAAGCATGAGGAGTATGCTAAAAAAATTGAGGTATATCCTATTGTATTAATGTTGTGCTGCATCTCTGACTCTCATTTTAACTGACCCACGGATATGAAAATTACTACATGACTCTCTCTCGAAAGCTTTCCGAGCATTCATGGTTATTTGGTTTATGGCATTATCCTCATCAAATGCATACGTAAAGTCTCTTTTGGCTGTAATAAATTGCGAAGTTTCAATTGCAGAAAGAATGGGCTGAAGCTAAAAAGGAGCTTCAGGAAGAACGTGAGAAAGTTCGGAATCTTACACTTGAGCGCAAAAATGCCATGATGAATGCCATGAAACAAGTTGAAACTCAGGCTAAAGAATTAGCTGATGCCTTGCATTCTGTGGCTGCAACT